TCGTAAGTACTAATGCCTTTGCTAATCAAAATAATACAAATAATGGTAATTATTTAGAATACGGGCCTTATCTCCGATTTTGATGAAATTGGGCTCATTCGACGTGTTTTCACTTCAAATGAAAGAATCTGGCAAAAAATGCGGTAATCAGCCTCGCGAACCGAGATATTAAGCGTTAAAGTGCTTTAAAAACACGAATTCACTGTTAATGCAAAGAATTTGTGTGCTTAAAGCAGCAAATTTTTGTTTTTAAAGCAGTGAATTTGTATAATTAAAGCAGAACGTATACATAGCGCTATATTGAGTCGGGATGACAGATATCTTAACTTCTAAAATCTTGAACTTTAACACTTCATATCTCGGTTCGCGAGACTGACCGCTGCATTTTTTGCCAGATTCTTTCATTTTAAGTGAAAACGCGTCGAATGAGCCCAATTTCATCAAAATCGGAGATGAGGCCCGTATTCTAAATAATTACTCAAATAATACTTGTTGGGATAAAGCTCACGTTAACTTCATATTTCGAAAATATTTTGTTCAATAACTGTGGAAAGAAATTAAAAGGTACCAATTGGACTGAAGCAGAAACAAGATGTTTTCTCAATTTTTGTATTGAAAAGAGAATAATACAAATGATGGATGGAAAACGCCACAAACATACAGACATCTATAATTCATTGGAGCCTAGTATGAAAGAAATGGGTTTTCTAAAAAGTGGCGCACAAATGAAAATAAAATTGAAACATTTGAAGGATATATATATTAAATGTAAAAGGAACAACAATACAAATGGTGCTAGTCGTCAGACATTTGCTTTTTACGACGAAATGGAAGAACTTTATTGCGGAAGGCCATCAGTCCAAGCCATTACAAACATCGGTATCGATTCCAGTGACAATGATATTCGAAGTATGTGAATAATGTTTATAAATCCATTTCTTTTTTATTTACTATTTATATTTATTTTTACTTATTTATACTTATTTATACTTATTTTACTATTTATACTTATTTATATTTAAGATAGTAATAATAATGTTTGCACTCATATTTATAGAAATCACTGAACAAGAAATGTTGCAAGTGGGAGATAATGTAGAAGCTGATGTAGAAGAAGATAAGGAAAATGAAAAAGAAAATGAAAAGAAAAATGAAAAGGTCGTGAAAAATACATTATTTAAAAAAAGAAAAACAGGTCAATCTTATGAAATATTACAAATAGCTTTCGTAAAAAAAATTATAATGAATATTCATAATTTTAAATGAATATGAAATTAAAAATTATATAAAATAGAACATTGTAAACACTGCATTACGTAAAAACTTAAAGCACACACCTATTTTTATCTTATGCTAATAAGCATGGTGGAATTATACAAGGTGTGTCGTTGCGCATAATGGCGGCAGAGAGTGGGGGGACATATTTTGTCAATCAATCACGTAGGGCCCATTCTATACGTGTGGAATTCAAACGTTCACAGGAGACGATTAATAAAAACAGTATTAGAAGTTAAAATAACAATGAAATCTTTATTTTAACCTATTAAAATATAAAATATTACAAACTGTAACAATATTACTGATTAGAAATACGATTGCACATTTTTTTGTTTTTCTTTGTTTTCTTATTACATTATTTATTTTTATTTGCTTATTTACATTGCGCAACCTAATATGCGATCTGGTTCGCACCAAATATGCGATTACCTCCGTCGGAAATTTGTACTCAAGTTTCAGACCTACTTTCGCGGTTAATGTATCAAAAATATTGTTTATTACTTACAGTTTATTACTTACAAAAATATTGTTTATTACTTACAGTTTTACACGATAATTGATCACACGGTCGATCTGTCATAATAACACGCAGTGCCCCGAAATAAACACAGCCATGTTGGATTTTAATCGAATGGGCCCTCCATGATTGGTTGTCCACTCCCCACTACTTTTAAGCTACTGCGCATTCACGGGAACGACACACCTTCTATAATTCCACCATGCTAATAAGTACATAATATAAATTTTAATAATCTGTTTCAAATAAATTCACAGAATAATATTGTTTATTTGTGTATTTTTAGTCGCAACACACACATGAAGCTAGCGAAGAATTTTGCAGAAGTTTTTGTGAAGAAACAGGCCGAAGTTATGGAGAAACAAATGCGCATGTTTGACGATGCAATGTATGCACAACTAGATTATATAAAACTGTGCGAAAAGGAAATGATGGAAAAAGATCACCAGCATCAGACTTCCATTTTGGAGACCTTTATGAAAGGATTACAAACAATGCAACCAGTCAACTTCCAGTATCCTCAGTATCCAAATGCATGCATTCCCGCCAACTTCTGCTCAAAATGTGTATCCGTACCATTTGTCATCATCTCCGTTATCAAATTCATCCATCTTCATCTTTTCCTGTAATTGCTTCTCCTTTACCATCACCGACTTTCAGAAATTCTCCAGAAACAAATGTATCAATGCCTTCACCAGTACCGTCATCTTCATTTTCATATAATAAGACTGATATAAGTAAACACGTACACAAGTAAAGAAACAAATATTTATTCTTTATGTATATATATATATGTATATATACACACATTCATATATATATATATATGAATGTGTGTATCCATATATTCTTTATATTTACTTTATAAGAAAAGTGTAATAAAAATAAAATTTAGTATGAATATTTGACTTAAGTTTCTTACCTAAAAATATTTTTATCTTGCATCGAATATCGTATTTCATTGTATATTATCTTAAAACACTTGCACGCAACGGAAAATTATTGCATAAATAATTTGTTAAATATTTTCGAATAGTTGATCCAGAGATGTCATCACGTTCTTTGTTAATAACATTTACGGGCTGTGGATAAATTATCTCCGCTTCGACCACATCATTCAGCCATTGTTGAAAAAATTGTTCGTTCCTAGACTCCACAAAATTTTGTAAAATACAACAGCAACTTTACAATATTTGGAACGAATATATGATCTATATCAATTCTTTTTAGGAGTATTCTTCAACGTGCCTTAAAAAGGCAAAATATCATTTCTACACGAACTCTTGCAGAATTTAAATGTACATTAAAAGATTCTTGTTCAGCTGTTATGGGACCGGGGTAGCCTTTTAATAACCACGGTAACAGTGGATACGTAGGGTCACCAATGATAAAGTAAGGTATCTCTAAATTATGTTTCTGTTAATATTTCTTGTATCCTGCAATAAAAATTATTCAATAATATTACACAGTGACAAAGTATAAATATATTTATTATATAATGATTAATTGTTAAGTTTTTATTCTTACCTGTGGAATAATATTTTTAAAATTTCTATACAAACTTGAATCTTTAAATACAGCAGCATCATGAGTACTCCCAGGATGACGAATACAAATATTTCTAAATCTACAAACAATACATTTATTAATGAATATGAATATCATATAATGAGTATTGTGGTTTTTGGGTTGAGGTGCTGGTGCAATGATTATTGAGATCGTAGGTTCTCGAAATAACTCTTTATTTTGAACCGCTGTACGTCTTACTCGGACGAGCACTTAGCTGTATCTGACCTGCGCCAATAGCGCCAACTCACTAGGGATAAATCCCTCGCCAAATCGATAGAATCGATATGGTCGCTCGCTTCCTAACCTAACGCGGTACACTTTAAATATGGGCTTGAATCACTAACCATAACAATATATATTGTTACATAATTATTTCAATTGTTAAAGGTTTACATTTTTGAAGATCTGCTTACATTTTTGAACATGGCTAGA